ATGTAAAAAATTCAAAATAAATTTAAAAAGATGTGCTCAGTTATTGCTACCCAGGGCTGTAGCAGAGGTTACATTAGACTGCCATCTTAATGAACCCTTTCTGTACAGGTATGTTTGGTGAAGAGGACTTTTTAAAAAAAAAAAAAGCTTTGGCCATGTACTGTATATTCAGTTTATCCTAAACTGGAAAATGTATCAATCCCCCTCTTGCCCAGACGGCTGGGGCTGACAGGTAATAACGACTTCTCCTCACTATATAAATCCTTTAAAAAATAGTTGTGTACCAATTTTTGGTATCTCAAAGTGTGAGTGGCATGCTGTTGGAATTAAGAATAGTAACGTTTTCTGAAATTAATACAATTTTTTCTACAGTTATTCTGTAATTTAGAAATATCCGGTATTAGATGAAATAGTATGTATTTTACAATGTATAGTGAGTGCATGGATTTCGTTTTTCCTTATAATGTAACAAAACCTATATATATATATGTTTTTTAGCAAAGTTCAAGTTTGGATGCAACTGTCTAAAAAGATTTTTTTTATCTGGGAGCCTTAGTTAATTTTTTACTCCAGTTATCTTATGTTCTGGTCTAGGATATGAAATGGAGAAATAGTATTCTACCCTTTTACATTTAGGTATCTGTTTTTAATTCTGACAGATCTAAAGCACTTTGAAAATTCTGTGTATATGTGTATGTTAGCTAATAAAATAAAACCTGGAACACTTCACCCACTGCTGAACATAGCCATCTGTGGGGGTGGGATACATCAGCTATCTAACAGTCCGCAACATTGTTACATAAAAATGACTAAATGAGGACTAGAGAGAGAGAGAATGTGTGTATAAAGTAATATAAATTGTGACCATGCTTAATTAATACCACTTTGTAATCTGTAGAAACTAATACATGAACCTTTTAATGATGATAACTGATAGTCTTGGCATTTTAAAAAATGTTCACAAAATGCAAGACATGATTGCATTGGAAAAATAGTTTGTATTTACCTTTTTATTCTATAGGTGGGATGCCAGGTGAGCATACAAACAGGCTATTTTGTCAGTCTTCATCCTACATAGTGCTTGTATTTGGACACATGTACCCATTGTTGGCCTGATAACATACACCCTCTTAAGTATATCCTGGAAGTGTCAAAACAAGCAGTTGTACTGATGTAATCAAACAAGTATGTCAGCATGTGGAAGTTTTGTTCAGTAGACAGGGAGGTAGATCATATAGTAGAAAAGACTGAATAAAAAACAGCTCTTCTATAAAAATGTTCTATGAACCTTTTTATTTTCTTTCTCCCTCTCTTTCTTTCTTTAACTTACCTTTAGATCCAATATATGAAACTTAAATGTGGATTTTTATCCACAAACTAACACCTTTGGGGTAAGATTAAGTGAAGACCTGAGACAGTAGTTTAAATAAGAATATAGAAATCAGTTATCCTTTTGATTGTTTTTCATGAATAGTTTATTTTCTGACTTCTGATGTTTTAATTTTATGGAAATTATTGCTCATTTTTAGTAGTAAAACTTGTTGGTTCCCACACTACTCCCCTTCCGAAAAAAATAAAACCAGGACGCACTGCAAACTCTTGCCTCCAGAAATGAATGAGCACGAGGAACCTTTAGACTTCTATTTAAAAGTTTTGTGTTTTTGGTGTATGTTTTACAAAAACAAACAACCCAACTATGTTTTAGTTTTTGCTTTTAGCTTTCATCAGTTTTAACTTAAAACTGAAAAACACAATCTGTTACATGCCAAAAGTGTATGTGTTGTACATTGGGTACTTTTTCTGATAACATTTTAAAAAACGTGCAGAGGAAGATTGTATTTGTTTGATGCTCCTTATAATTTAACCATTTTGCAGGGAGCAGCTCGTGTAACATTTAAATCTGGCTTAAGTTTTTTAAAGTTTCATAAATTGACCAGTTTTTGGAAAAACTGTTAGTGTTGCAGTACTCAATAGAGTATTTCATAAGCTGCCAAGAGGAAGTACTTAATAAACAATGGACTCAATCTTCATGCTGTGGGTGATGTTGTTTCTGCTGGGTGTGTGGGGACCAAAGATTATGTGTACACAATTCAGGCAGTTGCAGTATGCTCTTTGTTACAAAATTATAGCTACAGTGTTCTATTGACTATTCTCTTGCTGTGTAACTTAACTCCTGACTGCTGGTTGGGCAGAAAATTTCTGAAATAAGTTAATGATTGTGCCATTGGAACGCTCTGCGTTTCTGTCCTTTTGCATTAGGAACATTAGGACTTTTCTAAAATGAGACTGAAGCTTCTGAATGGCTATCTTTCAACTATTGGGATATTTTCTTAGTGCAGCAGGTTTGTTCATATGTAAGGGTAAACTCTGACATGGAGAGAGCCACTGGTTCTTCACGCTCATTAATTTGTGTCACTACATCTGTAGTACTGTCCTCCCATTTCCATACACTGCACCTCCACTATACATTTAACAGGAGTAACAATGGGTCTGATATATGTTTCTGCTGGTAGCTTTCTAAGTCTCCGTGTTTCAACAGAAGTCAGCTTTCTTTGTGTTCTTACTGCAGATTTGTTCTGAATTTCAGAGCTAGAGGGCAAAGAGCTTTTGTTGTTTAAAATATATAGCAACATTCAGTGCTTAGCCCAGTGTTATAAAATGTACATTTTGTCTTCCTACTGGAACCCTGCCATTGCTTCATATAGTCCAGTGGTTGTTGGAGACTGTTTTATAAAGCATATTTCTACATCCTTTACGCTAGGTTTCTCCAAAGAAATAACCACATTTGCACTTACTGCAGAACTGGCCTTACCTTTTTGGGCTCACCTGGTGTGTGGTGTTTGTATACTGTGACCACTTGTTCAAAATCTTAGCAAAATCCTTCAATCTACAGTAATTGTTTGAAGACAGGATGGAAAGAGGAGTCATTGTGTAGGAGCGGATAGAAGCAAATACTGTATCAATCTTGTTTCAGATACAGTGATTTGTTGCTTTTCTGTATGTGGAGGAATCCTTGTGCTGTTTTTTTTTCACCTGTGTGTCTTCTGTGAGGTTATTTAATGAAATTATAGTGATTTAATTACTTTAAAAGTAGTCCTACTAAGACAATTAATAATTCCAGAAAACCTGCAGATATTTTTCTTAAATTTGACTGGGTGCTGTGTAGTACAGATAAATGATGAGAAATATTAACTTATTTCGTCGTGATCCTGCAATTAGCACCATGCAGGGAGACCCATATGCCTATGCAAAGTCCCACTGATTTTTAGTGGGGCTCTGCATGGACATAAGTCCTCTCACGTAGGTCATATTTCAAGTTCAGAACCAAAGAATGTTTTAACACATTCTAAAACCGGGTTAGTCAATTATTTTTTTGTCAGTGTCCAAATTTTGTGGTTCAAGTATAGTCAAGGAGCAGACTCCGGAGAAAATAATAAAATAAATAAATAAAAAGATGTTGGGGTCCGTTCAAAAGCATCTGGTGGTCCGTATTTGGCCTGCAGTCTGCCTAATGACAACCATTCTAAAACATGGAAGTTTACAGGGTTCTTGGCTACAATGAATGAAAGGGAGAACATCCACTTGAAATACTAACATTTCTCTCTGAAAGAAATTGTTTTAGAGCTCAATTAACAAGTGAGATTACTAAAGCTGAAAGAGTGGAAAAATATTTTTCCTCTGTTTTTCTATCTGTTTTGTGCATTTGACAGCAGTCTACATGTAGTTGGTTTCACTGTTCCACTTGGATAGTCATTTTTTTACGTGCTTGAAGAGACCATATGAATATCAACATGGGAGAAGAGCCTTCCCTTTTTTAAAAGGAATTTTAAAAATAATCGGATATTACTTAAAGGTTCCTGTAAGGAATTGCATGAAAATGTTTGAGTTCAGAAAATTCATACTGTCCCTTTAAGTTCACCCTATTTCTACTTGTTGCAAAGGCTAACAGTTGAAATTTAGCCTAATGTGAGCTGCTGTTCTGCTTAATATGTGCTTTACCAATATTGAGCGAAAGGGACCTTTTACTAACTGTTTGTATTGAACAAGGTAGTAACTTAAACAGTATAGAATGGAACAGACCAATATTCCATACAATTTGGAAACACACAATAGGATTTCAGTTATTCTCACTAGTCCACCTAGGGTTGGCTCAATTGTGCGCATACGTCAGCGTGAGTGAAAGAGCCCCATAATATTGAATGTACAACTGAAAGTGCTCAGTGAATCCAAGGTACTCTTAAACTATACTGAAGTCATTAAAATATACTGACAAGAAGGTACAGTCTTCGGACTTGAGTGATCCTGAAGTGATCTGAGGTGTACAACATCTTTATTTGCAATGTAAGTCCCTAGCTAATGGCTCCTACATTAAATTGGCAAGTGTACTGACTTTTCTCCACAGTGGAGTTTTCCCTGCCGTGATTTTGAAACTTTTAACCTTGTAGTAAATATAGATCAGAACAAAATGCTTGTGATGGAAGAAGGAACACTTTTTAAGATATGCTGCGCTTATGGTTTGGATCTTCTGATTTTTATGTTCTGAAGATTCACGGCATTGATTGTGCTTAATCTTGCAAAAATACTAATTTCCTTTTAATAAGTGTGTCTGATGGGTATTTTTTATATGTACTGTTCATTATTATCAAATTTCATTTTTAGTGTTCTTTCTATCTTTGTGTTTTATACTGCTGCCAGTCACTACAGCATCTGAACACCTTCCGTATAAATTCTGTTACAAAGTCTCTAGTAAATTTCACATAATCTCTGGTTCTCTTCCGTTTTCAGGGTAAAACACTGTTTAAGTTGTTTTATTTGTTAGATTTTTTTTTTGTTGGTGGAGTGGATGTGTTTTAGTAGATTGGGTAATGCTTTTTAGCTGGTAATTTCTGCAGTTTGTCTATAATGCAGAAAAATGAATTAAGTGTAGTGTGTAGTTTACCGAAGTCTGTCTTGTGTCTTTGTTTTGATTATCTCAGATTTTCTATTTTCATCTTTCACAGAACTGAGGAATATTTTAAAGCTTGACAAATGCATTCCAGACTGGAAGACTGCTGCATTCCTCCTCCTCCTCCTCCTCTTCTTTAGAGAACTGACTTCTTAAAACAGAGGTAAAGTTGGACATGGCACATGTTATAACAATCATGACAAACAGAAAAATGACTTTTTAGTAACTTCTCCTCTTGGGTTTCCTGTAGTGTCTTTAAATAACCGTATTGAGGTGTCATGCAAATTATGACTGCTAATCACTGGCTTCCAAAATCTACTTGCGAATGACATTCTTTGATATTTTTGTTTTCAAAGCTTGCTTTATTTAGTTATCTTCTATTATTGATAGTATTTAATGCAGAAACGCTACTAGAACAGGTACTTCTTAAATTCAAGTAAATCTACTGTTGTTACTATTACTACCACTGTTTAAGTACCCAAAAAGTACTGTATGCTTAAGAAACACTTAAGACAGATCCTTGCCATGAAGAGTGTATATTCACAGGATGTGATCATATAACTACTTAGTGGCCAGTGCAGTGCTTACTGCCATGAGTAGTCCAATTCAAACAAGCAAAGTCCCAAAGAAATATGCCTTGATGTTCTCAAAAAATCAATTTTGGGATTTTTTTTCTACTTTAATGTCTTCCATTTATCAAACTCTCAGTTGTCCTGTTAAATCAAAAATTTTCCAACAAAAATCAAAATAGAAGGGGGATTATAGATTCATAGATTTTTTTTTTTTTTTTTTGGTAAGACCAGAGGAGAGGATTGTAATTATCTAGTTTGCCCTCCTGTATAATTCCAGCCATAGAATTGTACAGTAATTATTGTATCAAGCCTATTGAACTAGAGCACGTTTTTTAGAAAATATTTAAATATTTGTTTAAAACAAATACAAAAATTTAGATTTCATTTAATATTTTTAACCCTGTACCTACTTCCAGTTTTTTCTTTCCTAATTCTCAATTTTTTTTTGGTTTATAATACTGTCCTATTACTGTCTGAGACCTGGATCTTGCAAATACTTGTGCATGTGATCAACATTATGCATGTGAGTAGTCCCACTGAGTGAAGTTAAGCACATGCATAAGGGTTTGCAGGGTTAAAACCAAACATTAATATTTTATTCCTTTTCTCTCTCTTTTAATTTCCCTTTTCCTGAAATTTTTTATTTATGGTTTTGTTCCTTGCAGAAGGGCTAAGTGTTTCAGAACAAAGAGTTTGTCGTTCAAAGGAGGTAGATGACATCTGTGAGATTTTCCAAATTGGTGAATGCTATAGGTTTTGGGAAAAGTCAGATTAAATCCCCGGCCCTTCACAACTTCTAGATATTTTGCATTGTTTCATCTTTTCTCTCTTTAGAAACACTTGTGAGTGACCAAAATACCCTTTAAAGTACAGATCCCTCATAAAGTACTTTCTGTTTCTCATTTCCTTAAAGTAAGACTTTTTTTTCAGCTCCAGGTTTTAAGGTCCTGTCAAAGGCATAATAGTGATGCAGCCACTCTGTGTCTCTAGTTTTATTTAGACATCTTATCTGTCAGCACTTCTGAAGCATCCATTGCTCCATGAACAAATGTTTACCCCTTTTTCCACAGCAAGATTTAAGAAATAACCCTACTCCGTCGCACAAGTAAAGTCTCCTGCAGCAATATAGAGGTTGGGGGGAAATGACACAACTTCAAGGATCCCTGGTGGAATACTGATTCATCTTTATCTAGGCTATATACAATTTCCACAAGGAAAGGCACTTAATGTGTAACAGACTTTATTTTCATCTGTGTTGCTTGGTTCCCTTTACCATTTTAACCTTCTTAGAATACACTTTTTCTCTCCAAATGCCTCATGTGGCCCCCAAAATCTTCCATACTACTCTGTCTTATTGTTCTGATCCCATCCCAGCACACTCTTAATTGCCTTCCTTCTGGCTGCAGAGTCTGGGATGGGACAGTGTTCAGAGCACACAAGCATAGGTGCCAGAAATAGAGGGCTGTCTCTTCGCCCCCCCCTTCCCCCCGGGCTTTTTTTATTTAATTGAACACGTTCCTGTCTGGGAGGAAGTGTGCTGTGACCTGGCCAGCATCGGGTCCTGTTCTTTGTCACACCACACGCAATGTGACAACCAGGCCCCACTCTGCATTGTGTTGTGTGCCGGTCCCTCATCTGCTGGCTGCCAAAACCACAGCAGTGGCTCCTCTTGGTGCTGGGGGAGCAGCCAGATCCCAGAAGTGGGACAGACCCATCATCCCGAGGGTGAGAGGCTCACTAGCCCAGAGGGTAAAGTAAAGAGCAGGGGAGGAAGGTGCTCTGGAAGGGTCAGGCTGGTGGGATGTGGGAGGCAAGGACTCCAGGAGGACTGGGCTGGAGAAGGCAGGGGGCTCCCTCGAGGGCTCTGAGAAGGTCAGGCTGGTGGCAGTGGTGGCGGGCGGGGGGGAGGGAAGTTAGAGGTGCTCCCTCAAGGGCTCTGGGAAGGTTGGTCTGGTGCAGATGGGAAGTGCTTGAGAGGGGAAGGGGAGGGTCAGCTGTTTGTTTTATGGTATTACTGACCCAATTTCCCCATGGAAACAGTATCAGTAAGGGTTTCTTTCACATGGCAGCTCAGAATCTGGAATGTTATTCTTCACCATTCCCAGGGAGACCAGGAACTTACTTTTTAACTCCGGATGGTAGTGTGAATGGATGTAGTTGCCAGGCCATTTCTGTGCCTTTCCCTCTATCCACCCACCTAATAGCAAAATAGGAGGGGGAGGAGAGTGAGCTTTTGTTTTATATCCTAGAGCTGGGGTCGGCAACCTTCAGCACGCGGCCCATCAGGGTAATCCGCTGGCAGACAGCGAGCGAGACATTTTGTTTATGTTGACTGTCCACAGGCACGGCCCCCCGCAGCTCCCCCGCGCCGCTTCCTGCAGTTCCCATTGGCTGGGAATGGCTAACTGCAGCCACAGGGAGCTGTGGGGGGCCAGGCCTGTGGATGGTCAACATAAACAGAATGTCTCATGGCCTGCCAGCGGATTACCCTGATGGGCCACGTGCCGAAGGTTGCCGATCCCTGTCCTAGAGCAACATGCAAACCATAGCCAGAGTTTCTTCCTGTCTTTCTTTCTTTCTAGTTCCTTTCTCTGTGACCCTCAGACTTCTTTTATATCCCTGAAGTGGAGTTAAAACTCCATCTGATCTGGCTTCTGTGGTGAGTCAGTACAGTGGCTCTGCAACTTCACATAGGGGCCGAAGTCTGAGCTCTGAACAAATGCATGTAATTCTGAACACTGCCTGGGATGTTACTGAATATGCAGGGCTGACTTGTAAGTGTCCTTATTTGGAGGGGAAGGCCATCCCTCTAGTTTTTCTGTAGAAGTGGAAGCCAAATGTAAACCCATGTGTCAGGTCACAATGCTGCTGCCTCAAATTTGATCCGCACCCCACACTTCTGCAGTCTTTCCTGCGCCACTGCTCACAAGTGTCACTGCTGCATTGTCTGGCAGGCTGGCTACAGAACTGTACAACATGTTCCTTTACTCCCTGGCCAGGGCAAGAATATCCTGATTTGGGAAAGAAAAAGTATTGTATTAGGGAAACTATTTGAATGATGCCAAGTTCCTTTCACTGCTCATTAAGAGAGAGGTGAGTTTCCTGTGAATATGAGAGGTCTGTGTTAAATCAGTCCTAATACCTAAAGGCTCCAATCTCCTTACACTTATTTTTAAGCCTTCTTAAACTTCGGGATAAGAGATTTCACACAATCTCTTTACTGTGAACCATAAACAAAAGAGTTGAAAACGAAAAGGAGGATATTTAATACATGTGACAAGGCACAAACCTTATTAAAGTCTTTGTGTGTGTTCGTAATGCCTCTGGTCAATGGTAAACATGTTAAAACAGTCTGTACTCAGCTCTATAATGATTAACCTATGTGTTGAGGAACAGTATTAAAATCTTAAAATATAATCTCACTAGCTCCAACCAGGAGTAATTTTCAGCATAAATGCAATGTCAGACAATTGTATTAATAAATGAATGTAACCATAATCAATTTGTTCTATATTCTTTGTACACAGAAAAAAGTTCCCTTCTTCCATTATTACAACACTAAGATTATACTTGACCTAATGTACATTTTACCAAGCTTTTTTCCAGTTTGCGTTAATATTAATGCAATGCTTGTCCCTTCCCTTATTCACCTAACAATGATCTAAAACTTCCTCCACTTTTCGTGTCTAGCCTGCTATTACTAGCCATGAGTATTAAAGTTTGTCTTCCTATACTGTAGGTCAGCTATGCTTTTTGTGATAAAGAAATTGAGGAAATCCTTCATTTAGCACAGAGGAATGGTTAAAAGGATAATTTATCGATTGTGGTATTTTGGAGGGGAACTGTATATGCTGAGGAAAGAATTCTTTCTTTGTAATGATTAATTTCTACTTCTTGCTCTTTTGTTAGATCTAAAAGCTGTCTCTCCTATATAGCTTATTTTCTCACTTGGTATTCCTAAAGGCTATACTGTATTTTTTATATTTTTCCCTGGGTTCCCAAAGATTTGTGAAGAGTCTTTTGTGGGGGAGGTTGGAGTGGAAGGAGTTTTATCACACGTAGTAACATTTTATTTTGAGGCCTTTATCCTGCTGTCTTCAAACAAATTTGCACTTTGTTTTCTGTGCTTCACTACTGATAACAGAAATCATCTGATGGGATGACTAGTGTAATAACAATCTTGTATGGGTCATTTGTAGCAGTTGAACCTAGGACATGTGGCTCTAAAAGCATGTGATTCCACAGCTTCTAAAAAGCATTGGGGCCAATGGGGGAAGCCACTGAGCAAGGAGCTCAGTAAGACCAGGAAAGGAAAACAGTTTAGCTGGCAGCCAGAGTGTAAAGAAGTGACTGACTGAGCAGGTAAATATAGAGGGTGAGCTGAAAGGAGATGGAAAAAGAAGAAAGCAATAGCAGATCTCTCCCTTTGGGTTCCATTCTCTTGCTCAGTGGCTTCCCCTTCTGATCTCAGTGCTTTATTCATGCATCTCATCTCTCTTCCTTCCTTTCCCAAATACAAATAGGGTGACCATTAGCTCCTGCAGCAGCCCCCAACACTTTTTTTTCCTTTTCCACAAAGGTTTCCTGCACCTCTCCTACCACTGGTGGCTCACTGACTGTGCCAGCGTCTGAATTGTTCTCTTGGACAGCAAATGGCAAATTTGCTCCAGCTGTTGCTGCTCTTTTTCAGCACTTTCAGCCCCATACTCTGCCTGACAAGCAGGATCTAGCTGCTACACCATGGAGGTGCAGCCAGGAAGTTGGGCCACCTAGGGGAAAAAGTGAAATTTAATAAAAGCTTTAAAAAAAAAAAAAAAGTTATTGCTCACGAACCTCTTGAATTTTTATAAACACATCAAAAGGGAGCAAGCCACACTTCAAAACCCCCTTGGTATTTTTTTTTTATAAGAGTGTAAGTATTTTAAACATGGTGACCTGAATAAATTCAGCATTCTTCCTGTCTACATTTTCTCAATAATTTTAGTTAGAAAAGAGATTCTTCATAATTTCCTGCCCTAAACTCTTTCATTTTGTTGCTGTGAACTGATAACCATCTCTTTTTATCTCCCACATAGCTGGTTTTCTGTGTAGGTGTAGTAATTTATCTGCCTAGGTTATCAGAGCATTTCCATGCCTTCCTATATAAATCTTGGCTGCCTCGCAGGAATGTTGAGTCTGAATTAGTTAATAGTAAAATACGTTGAGATTGTCAGATAAAAGGCATGGTAGCCAGGCTAAATATTATCAATAATAATATTTCAAAAGCATCTGGTCAGCTACATTTATAGTAGCTGTCTTGAACAGACCTGCTGCCTTAAGAGTATTTTTTTAACAGAGAGCTGTATAATAAAAATTAATTTAATTGCTCATCAGGTTGTTTTTCAGAATGAAATTTTTATGGTAGCATGTTAATTTGGCTTAATGCATCTGTTGGAAGCTCTGTTTAGGGACTGTTCCAATTTGCAAAAATCCCTGCTAGCATCATTGTGCATATTTTGTGAGTATTTTAGTAACAAAATTGATCAAAGTCTCTACATCATCCCACTGTGCTCCATTAAAACATCAATATCATAAAAAAAAAAGCTCCTAAAAAGTGCCTATTGACAGCACTGGAAACTGATATAATTTTTGTTTTGTTTTATTTATTTTCATACATCTGGTACAGCTTAGCCAGGAGTGAGTTCAATCTTTCAGTCAATGTAACTCAACGTTAGTGTAAATTAACTGTTCTAAACATGAGGGTAGTTGTGTCTCCATGTCAATGCAATCCTTGACCTATCTACTGTGTCTGTCAACAAGGGTCCAACTTATGGTGGTGGTTTCTGTGATATAGACATTCCCTAGAGACTGGTTTCAAAACACCCATTCATTTAACTTATACTACTAAACTATTTTCAGACAGTAATTACTTTGGATCACTACTAACCTATATTGAATTCAAACTGGAGATTTTGAGACTCCTGCTGCCCTGATCCTGACACAATGTACTGTAATTGGTTCTTCCTAAAAGTAAAATAAACAACAAAATCCTATACTTAAATTTCCCATATTCACTAGATTGAATACATTATTCCTTAAAGGGCCAATTTCTCTCAATATTTGATGTTTTTCCAAAAATTCCAGTTCCTGGAGTCATTTCCTTACAGGAGAATCTCAGTTTTGATATATAAATTACTAGCCCTTATGGTTGCAGAGCAAAGCTTGAAAACCTGAATTCTAAATGCTGAAAAATCAGAAGGCAAATAAATAGAACCCCAAATGTATTATTTTATGGTTAAATCCCATGATTTGTTTTGAGGCAACCTCATTTGGTGGTTGAGAGTTTATAGGGGAGGAGGAGGCAGGAAGAAAGGGATTTATATTAAATCCTCGACTCCTTCACTTACAAATTTTAAAACAGTGTTAGCTGTTAAATATTGGAGAGTCATGTAGTATTTTGGTTTTTTAAAGCGAAGTGTCAGAGGGAGTTCAAATCAGCTAACAAATCTTACTCTCAGAACTGTATGAATGTTACCATGATATTTGGTGCTGACGGCATAGCCATTTTGACTTGTATTTGATAAGAAATAGAAACATCAACTTGCTAAATGGAGTAGGGCAAAACAGTGGAATAGGGAAAGAGAGGTTGGATTCCATAACTGGCAGCAGATTCCTCTATAATTTTTTGTACTGGTGTTGATTTAAATTCTTTAAGTCGTAACAGAAACATTAATTGTCTGAGCCTGTGTCCGATATCCCTGGTGAAAACATATTTTGAAATACCTGTAAATAAATATTTAAAGAGGGTATTTAAAATTTAAATGAAGGGAGAGAAAAAAAGTCAAGTCTCAACACGAATATTCGGAAGAACAGTTTATCGTTTATTGTTAGGGCCTTTTCCAAATGACATGGCAAAATATATTTTAAATCTAATTTAATTAGATTAATTTCAGTTGTTTACTCCCATTTATTAATAAGCTCAAGTGAAACATTTTTCCTTTAACCTCCTGTTCTGTGCAAATCTAAACTGGACTACCAAGAACTCTAAGGAGTTTATACGTACTAGCTATTTTGGAAAATGTTATGACTGTCTCTACCTTTTTGTTTGACTTCCTGTATCTAACTGCTTTTATACCTTTACAAGTGAAAAAGAAATAAGTTAGCGCATGAGGTTTGCAAAAGTTTTGTTAGCCATGAATTTTTGTTGTTCATCCTTGCTTTAATTATAATTTCCCTTTGAAGCTATGATGGCATGAGCAATATGTTTCCGATAGGTTATGATTTATTGAGAAATCTATTCATCAGCGATCTTTGGGATTTTTCCAGCAAGAATTTCCATAATATATTAAAAAAAGCACTTCTAAACTATATTGCAGTTCATCTGAACTTGAATACATTATTACTGTATATTTTTACTATACAGATTCTCTTATGAAGACTGCAAGCTATTGCTATATAGCCTTACAGAAATATAGTTGTGCACTGGGCTTTATACTGGCCAGATTTCCTATTTTCCTGTATTTCTAAGAGAGAGATCTCTTCTTGTAGTGAGGGTGTTAAAGTAATGGATAGTTCCACAATATTTTGTTCTGTGACATTCTATTTTCATATCTATTAGTATATACTATATACATTTTCCTATTGTCTGTTTTATTTCTGTTTAGCAGCAACACTTGTCTTCCTGTGAAAAGGCAAATTAGTAATGGTGGTTTTGGACCCGAATGCAAGACTGTGGGTCAGAATATTGCAGCTGACACATCACAACAATTTCTAAATGTAACAGTAGCTTAGTGAATATGCTTAGCATAGCTCTGGTTAAATGTCTGTGTGCTGAAACTATAATAAAAAGAAAGTAATGATAGAAATTGGAGAGGGAAAGAATGTATTAGGTCATCGTGTCCAGCCCTTTGCCAATGAAGGATTGATCTTGGTGCTTATGAAATGATGTCTTTATTTAATGCACCCTCTATTGTGTTAAACATTGTATTTGGGTAGTTGAAAGTTCATGTAATGTACTGGCTCAGTTCTGGGCCCTTTATTTAAAAAAAAGAAAAAAAAAAGAATCCATTTAATATGAATATTTAGATGCTTAAATACATCAGAAATCCACACTACATAACTAAACCTTACATTAATTTAAGAAAACAGCTGCAACTTAAATATTGTACTTAAATAGAGACAGCTAATAAGACTAGGGTGTTTATTTCAAAATAGTATGCAAGTAGCGGACATGATAAAACTCTGTGGTTTTGGCTTGAGAACTCTTTTTGTCTGAACTCTAGATGCTAGAATAAAACTGTTATATGGTCGGAAAGTAATAATAGTAATTGTGTGGTTTTAAAAAAAACTAATATGTATGCTTTGTATGTTTAGCTTTCTGAAAAATACAGCTTACTGCTAAAATAGATCTTCAGTGTTTCAGCTTGAAAGAGAAACTTCACAATTCTTCCAGAACAGCTTTAAGAAATAAAATATACTGCCATCATGACTTCCAAGATATTATATTATTTTTTATGAAATTGTGTTTACTTTGTGCCATATCCAGAGTTGTCATTACAACCTGTCACATGGTTTTATTCCATGATGCTCTTCAGTTGTTCCAGTTGTCTTTTCTTTGTACTATATTTGGTAAGAGCACAGGGATGGATGCTGTGTTTGTCTTAGATAATGTGCAATTTGGCCTGAGGCACTGAGTCTCTCTGACCCACTGAAGTACTGTAGCTTTATGTCTAGGAGGATCAAGAGAACAGTTTTTAAAAAAATCATTATAAAACGGGACTAATTTTCAGAACTACAACATCTGGTAATGTTTGATGTTAAATAAAACAGTCAGATATTTGAACGGTCTTCCCCTTTAGAACAGGGTTTTACAGAACTATGCTTTGTTGCCAGAAGTGCATTCTACCTTTTGAGCTTCTCTTTCTTGTTCCGAAAGGTAAGAAAGGAGAATAAACTGTAAGAAAATGCTGGGATCAGAACGTGGTGTGGTGGAAGAATGGCTATCAGAATTCAAGGTCAGCTGAGTAGGTGTATGACCATTATAATGTTGTTTAATGGCATATAATGTTAAGAATGCTAATGATTAAACATTTAAAGTGTAAAAGCTTATTTTGATTTTTAATCTTTTGTATTTGTTCTACTGCACAATGTGTAGTATATAGATGTCTATATAAAGGTATTAATATAAAAAGCACAATTTGGAATACAAATATTTATTATAATAGTACAGAGCATATAGCATGCTTCGCAGATCTCACTTCAGAGCACATCACACTGTAAATCAAGTTGATAGAATTTAAAGGGATACTGTCAAATTGATCACAAAATTTAAAAACTTAACCAACTTTTTATAAAATCTAAGATTAATAGAAGTGTTTCCACAATTTAAAAAACTCCAGTGAAAATAGTTTTTAAAAAAAATGCCCTCCTTTGATGAAATCGATGCTTTACATCACTAAGGAAGTGAAAGTGTCTTGTCTGTAAACCAAACCTAAACTTCCTTTATTGAGCTGAGAGAAATATAAAATAAAACAGCACATAGAGACAAGTAAATTGGATTTTTAAAATACTTTCACTTTTAATAATCTGAGGCTTTATCCTAAGTTTAAAAAAAAAGTTTAAATTTATATAAGGTTTGGAAAAGTTCCTGGTTGAACAGGGAAAGAGAGAAGCGGGTTTGTGGCAAATAATTTTAATACGGAGCAGCCTAGAGCTGTATAGTGACCTAGTCGTAGAAGTTGCTGAATGTCCTCAACTACCACACAAATTGATGAATATTCATAGCATTCAGCACAATGCAGGATTGGGTCCCAGCATTGTCAGGTTTATGGATAGCTTGCTTGCTTTAATCAGTACTGAAAGGACAGAATTCCACCTTTACTAGTGTACTAAGTTGTGAATTATTCTTGACTGAAGCTCAGGGATTGTTGTTGCTGTGTTTAATGTAATCAGAACTGGATTTAACATGTTCATAGATGTCTATCAATATATGAAATCTTACATATTAACTACTCATTATAGTAACTGCTGTCTATATCTCTTTCTTTAGGCATTACCTGAAAATCAAATCTCCAGTTATGCATCAACATTGCACCGGAAAAAATCACTGGTGCCAGCCCTTTATAAGGTTATTCAGGACCCAAATAATGAGGTAGGAGACTCCCAGAGAAGGCATTTCCTTTTTCTTTTTCTAAATAAATCATAGTAATTAAGAACTGTCTGTTGCTGTTCTAACCTGGGATTGATGCAGGGAGAATATTCTTTCTCTGTTTTGCCCCTTTTTCTCTTCCTCATTTTTGACAGTTGCTGAATATTTCTTTCTGTTAAAAGGCAAACCAGTTGCTCTCAAAAGTATACTGAACACTGCTCCTGGGTTTGGCTGGTCATTGTGACATAACAAGTTTTAGGTTGCAACTCCAGTGTGAGCTGCTTTTTGGAAGCCAGTTAGCCATAGCTGAGACAAAGTACTCTTTAAAATAAAATTCTTCAAGCCAAATTAGTTTGTTCACTCATAATTTATTATTTCAAGGAGAATGGAACAGATGTCCTACCCCAGTATGAAATTATGAATAGGCCTGATTTTCCTTTCATTTACACTACTGTTATATTTGTGTAATTCCATTGTTTTCCATGGAATTACTCTTGATTTATGCTGGTGTAACTGAGAGTGGAATCAGAATCAAATTTTAAGTATATACAGTAAAAAGATACCTATGAATCTGGCTCATGACTTGGACAATTAACATAGAATTAAGCTTTCCATTTCATAGAATACTGGGGAGAGGATGAGAAAGAACTACTGGAAAGTCTTATGGATGAATCTACACTCTGAACAAATTACACAAACTTGCCACTTTATGTCGTGTGACCAAATGTCCCGATTTTATAGGAACAGTCCCGATATTTGGGGCTTTGTCTTATATAGGTGTCTATTACCCCTCACCCCCGTCCTGATTTTTCACCCTTGCTATCTGGTCACCCTAACTTACACTTCTATATAGCATGCATCAAAAGAGTCAGGAAGGATTATCATCTCTCGTCTCATGTGCTTTTAAATTAAAATGTGAGGAATACACAGGAAAGTAGCTTCTTATCTTCTCAGATACAGCCTCCAAGAGTGCCTGTGCTGTTTACTGGATTGAGTTTGAAGAAGTTCAGGTAATCCTTTCTAACAAGCAGCTTGATTTTAAAATGCTGCTTTGCTTTTCCCGTAGGACTAAAAGCTTATATACTGACCTCTCTTTTTTCCTCTCAGACTGGGAGGCTTGGAATTAATCTTGAAACTGTTGTAAATTGTAACAGTACTATTGCCTCTGCTGTCCCTCTCTGTCTTGCCATCTGTTTCTCTGAATGTTTCACCGGTTTTCCCTTACACTTTTTAGAAAAAAAGCATCTGATTGCACTGAGTAAAAGTTATCAAGAACCAAAACTTCAAAAGGAGAATCCATTTTAAGGGTCTGACTCTAATGTTGTATTATTGAAAATTAACTCATGTCTAAGTAAATTAGGGCTGTCAAGTGGTTAAAAAAATGAATCGCAATTAAACAATAGAATACCGTTTAAATATTTTTGGATGTTTTCGACATTTTCAAATATATGGATTTCAATTACAACACAGAATACAAAGTGTACAGTGCTCACTTTATATTTATTTTTGATCACAAATATTTGCTCTGTAAAAAACAAAAGAAATACTATTTTTCAATTCACCTAATACAAATACTGTAGTGCAATCTCTTTATCATAAAAGTACAAAAAAAAACCCCTGCATTCAAAAATAAAACAATGTAAAACGTTAGAGACTACAAGTCCAGTTCTACTTCTTGTTCAGCCAATTGCTAAGACAAACACGTTTTTTTTACACTTGCAGGAAATAATGCTGCCTGCTTCTTGTTTACAGTGAAAGTGAGACCAGGCATTTGCATGGTGCTGTTGTAGCCGGCGTCGCAAGTTATTTATGTGCCAGATGCGCTAAAGATTCATGTCCCTTCATGCTTCAGCCACCATTCCAGAGGACATGCGTCCATGCTGATGACAGGTTCTGCTCGATAACAATCCAAAGCAGTGTGGACCTACGCATGTTCACTTTCATCAACTGAGTCAGATGCCACCTGCAGAAGGTTGATTTTTCTTGTTTGGTGGTTCAGGTTCTGTAGTTTCTGCATCAGTGTGTTGCTCTTTTAAAACTTGTGAAAGCATGCTCCATACCACATCCCTCTCAGATTTTGGAAGGCACTTCAAATTCTTAAACCTTGGGTCGAGCGCCATAGCTATCGTTAGAAATCTGATATTGGAACCTTCTTTGTGTTTGTCAAATCTGCACTGAAAGTGTTCTTAAATCAAACAACATATGCTGGATCATCATCTGAGACTATCATAACACAAAATATATGGCAGAATGCGGGTAAAGCCATGGAGCAGGAGACATACAATTCTCCAAGGAGTACAGTCACAAATTTAAAAAACACTTTTTTTTTTTTTTAACAAGCATCATCAACATGGAAGCATGTTCTCTGGAATGGTGGTTGGAGCATGAAGAGGTATATGAATGTTTAGTATATCTGGCACGTAAATACCTTGCAGCGCCAGCTACAAAAGTGCCATGCGAACGCATGTTCTCACACTCAGGTGACATAAATAAGAAGCGGGCAGCATTATCTCCCATAAATGTAAACAAACTTGTTTCTCTTAGCGATTGGCTGAACAAGAAATAGGATTGAGTGGACTTGCAGGCTCTAAAGTTTTACGTTGTTTTATTATGGAGTGCAGTTACATTAAAAAAAAATCTACATTTGTAAGTTGCACTTTCACGATAAAGAGATTGCACTACAGTAGTTGTATGAGGTGAATTGAAAATACTATTTATTTTGTTTGTCATTTTTACAGTGCAAATATTTGTAATATAAAGTGAGCACTGTACACTTTATATTCTGTGTTGTAATTGAAATAAAAATATTTGAAAATGTAGAAAAACATCCAAAACTATTATTTATTTCAATTAGTATTCTGTTGTTCAACAGTGCGATTAAAACTGATTCATCGCGATTAATTTTTTTGAGTTAATTGCGTGAGTTAATGGCGGTTAATCGACAGCCCTAAAATAAATTTTAAAAAACCTAAATCCACTGCTATGGCTTCTGCCCAGGTATTGAGGAATACATGCATCTGAGATCAGAATCTGCTCCAAAAATGTCAGCTAAAATCTTGACTTTCAAGGTGGCAAGACTCTCCTTAGCATATTTCTTCCAAGCTTATTCTACATAAGGGAAATATAACAACACATTAGGCTCTTTTACAATGTTCAGTGCTGCACTAATACTGAGTTCTAGGAGGTAGGATCTTCATAGGACTGTAGGATTCTATGTTAGCCAGAGGATAAGTTTTTTGCTTGTAGACTTCTATTATTCTGCCATATGAGTAGTAAAAATCTGGTACAAGGAATTAGGGAATGTATTTCCTCATGAAGAGGGGTATATAAATTTTTACCATAACTCGAGCCTCATCATGGCTGCACCATTGTTTAAAATTATCTGAAACGATCTACCATCATAATTTGCTTTAAAAACAAATCTCTCGAAGACTGCTGGCTCCATAATAGGTTAACAAATACAACAGTATTGTCCTTCAGAGGTGTGTGTTTTATCAGCAGCTGTTCATCATGCTCAAAATGCTTGCTCTCCAGGGACAACAGTTATACTGAGAAATTAATGTCAAGTAAAGTTAGTTTAATTTTGCAAAAGTATTAAATTCCCTCATGGGTCTTAATATAGTGAAAATATTGAGAAGGGCAGTATTCAAATAAAGTATTTAAATAAAGAGAGCAAAGAGTGTTCAGAAGTGGCTTATTTAATCAAATAATGTGTAAATGGTACACTTGATATTTTCCTTCCTTTTTAAAGGTACAATTTGTTCATTGACAGTTCACAATTTTTTTTTGTTTGATGGGTATGGAGCAGGTGCAAGACCAAGTAAATTAACGGAAATCCATATCTACTCCATGCAAAAAGTAACATTAATGCAGTGTTGAACTTGAGAAATCATATACTCAGACCAAGACATCCAGAGTTAACATTGAAAGCTCAGTCTTTAATTTTTTTTTTTAAAAAAGCATATATCCAGTATTTTCCCGTGTTCAAAGTGCTTTACAGACATTAACTGATTTCTTTTAACTTTCCCCATTTATGCTTATGCCTTAAAATAAGGTCATTCCTTCTATCATGATATAATACTGGAATTTCTTATGTAACTTTATCTTGTATAGTACACGCAGTCATGCATATGCAGCTTTAAGATTTGTCCTGATTGTTAAGAGTCAGTGAGATCTACAAAATGAACAAACTTCCTTAAAACGTGGTTTGTGTTGTACACTGCTCTGAGATGTAAAAAATTAAACCAAGATATGAAAACTGCACTGTTATGTAACTTACTGTAGTTTGTATAAGAAATTCTGTTTTGTATTACGGTATGTATTGTGTTAGCTGACTTTTATGTAGATATAAAAGTCCTTTTGTTAAGTCATGAGGAAAAGAGGATGGTTATTGGTTTGGTATAGCCTTAACTGTGCATTTCTTGACTGAGTGCTTGATTTCGCAACCTTTTTTTAATTTGGGTGGCAGGAAGGACATGGAATATTTAATTTAAAAAAAGATAAAAATAACTCTTGTAAATAGAACTTATAAATTCCATAATTTGGAACTCTTTGGCTTGTTGCCTCTGGAACCTATCAGCCTTGGACTGAGGTCTCCTGGTATCCAGTCAGATATCCTCTCTAAATACTTCTACCAAATGTTCCACTTCCCCATCTTACCCATTTCTTTTGAACTTTTTTACTCTGCGGGCTTGTCTTCATTGCTGAGAGCGAGGCTGCTGCAATCCATGCAGTGGGTGTCGATTTAGCAGGTCTAATGAAGACCCGCTAAATCGATAGCAGAGCGCTCTCTGGTTGACCTTGGTATTCCAGTGTCCCGAGAAGATTAAGATAAATTGACTGGAGAGCGTCTCCTGTCAATGCAGCTCAGTGAAGACACCGGGGTAAGTCAGTCTAAGCCACATTATTCACACAGGTGGAGTAGCGTAACTTAGGTCACCTTACCCGGGTAGTGAAGACAAGCCCATAGACTCTAATCATCTCATTGCAGACTCCATGGGAAGCAGACTAGCTAAGGCACAAAGAGAGATGTTTGTTCTGCCATTCCCCCTGTATTGTAAGCTATAGATCAGTCAAAGAAAAGTAATTGAAAATCCTGCTGCAGGTTGATTTTTCTCATGCTCATAACTTTACAATCATCTAGGTTTCAAGTACTTCATCGCAATGACCATGTCTTCATATTGGTCTATAAAGCACACTAATAATGCTATAACAGCTACTTACAAGAGATTTGCAAAATGAAGCCCAGTTTGAACTAAATTGTTCAGCCATTGTTAAGTTTTGTGTGCACAAATTTCTGACTGCAACGTGTAGGAACTGAAGGATTTTTAAAATGCTATTTATTTATTTATATATGCGGAACACAATTGAGTGGATTTTGCTGAATCTTCCCACAGTATCTAGCCTCTGGAATGAGACCAAGCATGTAAAAACTTCAACCTGAAACAAAACTAAAAAGTTGATAATGGAAGATGCATTTCAACCGGTCACTTCTCTGCCTGGGCACATATGACTTCTGTTACAATCAGTGGGATTTTTTCCATTAATTTGAATGGGACTTGGTTCAGGCTCAATCCGATTTCAAATAGAAAACAACCTATAACATAATAAAAATACTGTTTATAGCAGTGTTTATATCTAGTTTCTTTTGGCATTTGCATACCTCTCATCCCCTGAATATGTGCCGATATACTTTAATCTCTCGGGGATCTATTTTTGCGGAGTTTTTTTCTGAAGAAGCCTCCTGTTATGTTATTTTTAAAAAGAGAACCAATAAAGGCGATCTCTACAATATTTATCTTTATTATTTACTGTTTTATTTTTTGAGCATCTGAAAATATGGTAGGCATTTGACAAGACAAATAAAGAGAACAGTCCCTGCCCTGCAGATTTTTGCATTTACTGTAACAGATGGTGGTGTTAGTGTTTCTTGTAGATAGGAGTTTGCATTAAGTAAATATTAATTAAAACAGGATTCATATTTAATATTTGTGCAGCACTTTGAACATGTAATGTGCTATATGTGCTAAGTATTATAGTAAATATGCTAAATAGAATAACTGGATATTCAACCATGTTGAACAAGGCTGTTTTTCCATCAAGGGGATCGGATGGTTTGACTGGCTTGTGATGCCATGAAAACCCCAAGTTAAATAGGAGAGTCTTGAGGTGCTCTGCTTTCTTGCTTATATTTCTTACATTTATTGTTAAATCCCTGTATTTTATTTCAAACTACAAGATTTTTTTCTACTAACCTTTTCCTGCTGCACAGTCTTCCCCATCCTTTGTTTAGTCTCTTGCTTTAGTTATAAAAAGTCTTTTCATTCAGTGTGACTAAGCTGTCAGCCAGAAACCTTGTTACACAAGGTGCTTGTATCAGATCCTTGTATAATAAGGGTTCTGACTGATGTTCTAAATGGATGTGATGTCACAGTTTATGTAATCAACTAATGGTTTAAGAAATGGTACGTTTACCATCCATACTGTACTGTATGCTAAAAATGAAACTAATGATTAACCTCACCTTTCTGTTGGAAAAAATGTAGCAGTTACTCTTAAGACAATAATGGCCTGGGGTTGTATTGAATTAATTTTTAGTGTCACTGAGATTTTTAGTTATGTCAAGGCATTTAAATCTGTGCATGTGTATATGAATATATATTTACATAGCAATACAGAGGTTTACTTCCATGCAAATTTGTTGTATGTGCAAACTAAGCACTTAGAATGAGAGAGAAATAAAATAAGTTTTCTGAAGTTGGTAAGACATGAGTTTTTCATGTCATACAAAAAGTGATCATATGATTTGATGCAAAGACTCTTGTGTTTCTCCCTGTCCTGAAGAAATACAAGTAAGAGATAATGAGGAGTGTTTTCTGATTAGAAAAGGGGACTTTTGTTTAGGAGAGTCTGGGCTCTGTGCTTAGATTCTTCCAATAACTTACTATGTGACCTTGGTCTGGTCAAGTAGTGTGTCGTGTCTGTTGCCTTCATCTGTTTATCATCTGTGTGCCTCAGATTTCTGTCACTGGATAAAAAGTTTCCGTCACTTCCAAAACTTTTGAGTGGCTTGTAGACACTGACCTAAGACCTGTGCCAAATCCTATTGGGAATCTGGCCATTGACTTAGTTGGGGTTTAGATGAAGCCTGTAGGTTTTTTTTTTTTGTTTTCTGCACTGTGAGTTGAGCACATTTCCCAGACACATATGGTACGTCTGTTCACCAGGAAAGAAAGTTAAGATATATGTGCTTTCATTGGGTCTCTGCAAGGTGGAGACTTGGGTTCAAATCTTAATTTAGGTTACAAGTGAAAAGGAATTATTCACCATTTTGTGCACATCACAAAACTGCCAGTTTGGCACAATTGGCTATTGGAACGCAGGGGTTTTTGTGGGTCCATACTGAGTTGAATTGATAAGGGCCTTGGGGAATCTTGGCTACTTGCATTTAATCTAGCTCTAGTTAGTGCTAGTAAGCCTTCCAGTTTGAGGGGAACCAAATTCAATCAAGAGTGTTAAAAAATTAGTTTGCCCACCTCTGACCAAAAATGCCCCCCCCTCTTGTTTGTAAACAAACAAAAATCTAAGGTAAAGGGTTAATTCACTCTCTACCCTTATACTGGATATAGACTTATTTCACTAGTAAGTATTTCTTTTTCCACACCTGAGATTTTTCTAAAGCATTGGGGTTGCAACATGAACATACTTTATGGTCTGCACAGCTCAAATCATCTCACTGGTAAATGAATTTGGTGCTTATAAAAAGGTGTCGTATTGACAGTTGGAAAATGAAACTCTGCCACAGATCAGGTACATTAAGGGCCATGGTAGTGCGAACGACAATCCTCACCAATGTACCTCAGTCCCATTCTTGAAGACAATGTTTAGCAGGGAGCGGGTAACTTAGTCTCCATGCCCATTCAATATCTGGCATCTCTAAGGTTGCCAACAACGATGCCAGTTTTGCCAGTTGTGGTGGTTTTATTTGTGCATTTTTTTAGTACACAAGATTATTGGCATTTGAGCTGTTTTGTCTCTTTCTATAGCTCCTGGAACCTGTCTGCCACCAGCTCTTTGAACTCTACCGTAGTTCTGAAGTTCGACTCAAGAGGTTCACGCTGCAGTTCCTGCCAGAATTGATCTGGGTTTATCTGCGTCTTACTGCCAGCAGGGACAGACAGAGTAACGGTTGCATTGAAGCACTGCTTCTTGGGATTTACAATTTGGTAAGTGAGATAAGGAGAGATGGGTGTGAAGAGCTTTAAGATAATCAGTGAGCAGTAGAAATAAAGTAAGGCACGGAATATCAACAGAGCAGAATATGAAAAATGCTAATGAATTAATGCAGTTACATTTAAGTATGTTTAACCTAGAGGAAAGCATAACTTAATGAGTGTTCAGAAAAAACATGTTTTTAGAAGCATCTTTGGTAGCTTGTAAATCAGATTTACTGCCTCAGCGCAGCACTAAACGTATTACGGTTAATGTTAATTTAATTTTTTAATTAAGATTTTTTGTTGCCCTGTATACTGTGTTTGTTAAAAGAATTTAGTAAGTCTGTATAAATATCTAAAGAGTTGAAACTTGCTGATAGCCTGGACTGAACAATATGCTTGTTCAGTCTTTCCATATTGGGCTTCTCCTATTTAGTTACTCTGAATGACCTTTTAAGGTGAAGAATTGAGGCTAAAGTAACATTCAGTCACAAGTTGTGCATGGGTGGGAAATATCTTTTGGCTGGGACTATAAAAAAAAAATCATCATAATAATAAATGTTGTTCACTGTAGACTCCAAAATTTGGCTGTCAAAAACTTAGGGATGATTTCAGGCTGTCAAAAATAGTATTCTGTCAGGGACATTAAATTATGTATCTCATACAAATTTATATTCTTAATTTTTATGCCAATATGCCATGGCTGGTAAATTATCAATATTGTTAGGCTGTGCCCTTTCTTGTAATGAGAATTTCAATTTTACATCGCTTTAAAGCATAAATTGTCCTAAAATATTTTCCTTCTCTGTTCCTTTATAACAAGTTTTCTTTTAAGCAGTGTGTTAGAGTTAGCATAGAGCGCTTTATGTTCATATTCCTGGGAAGTGAGACATGGATCCAAATTCTGATCTCAGTGACATTTGTAAATCCACACTGACTCCAATAAAGTCAAGTTACTCTGGATTTATGCTGGTGTAAGCAATATCAGAATCTGGTACTAGCTTTTGACTTGTATCTGCTGGGCTGAAGTAGGTTGTAAGCATCTGTCGTTGGCTTCAGTGTTCATCAGGGCACTTTAGCTGGTCCTTCTGGATCTCATGTCGGCTGCATAAGCACAGCAGCTAATACTGCTACATTCTCTCCAAACTGAAATGGAAGGAAGCCCTTGTGAAATGGGGAGTGACTCAAGAACACTTTTCTCTAGCTGCAGATATAAGTATCTTGGCACCCCCCTGCAGATGTCAATAAGAACCTAGAGCAGTGATTCTCAACCTGTTAATCATTGTGGGCCACAATGAGTTACCTGAGCTGCAGGCTGAGAACCACAGCACCTCCCAAATCCTCCCTCACCACTACTATGCCCAGTGCCCCAGCCCATAGACCCCTCCACAGAGCGGGGCCAGGAGCGGAGCCCCAATGGCTGGACTCTGTTGTGTGGGGCCGGGCGACAGTCCCTACCCTGCTGCAAACTGTGACCCCTATCATGCGGGGCAGGCCAGCAGCCTCAACCCCAGACCTTGCTGAGTGAGGCTGGGTGGCAGCCCCGACCCCAGCCCTGGACCCTGCTGTGGTGGGGCCCAAGCAGCAGACCTGACCATGAAGCTGGACCCCATTGTGCAGGGCCGGGTGGCAACCCCAACCCGACCCCACTGCCGACCCTGACCCCTGCTGTGTAGGGCCGGGCGGCAGCCTCGACCCCAGACCCTGCCGCAGGGGCTAAGCAGTGACCCCGACCCTGGACCCTGCTGCAAGCCCCTGCCACTCTTTAGCACACAGCTGGGTGCTAATTGGGCCGCAGGTTGAGAACCACTGAGCTAGAGGGTAATATTTCTGATATCTTCTCTGTGAAAAATTCTCAGATTTAAGTTAAAGATAAAAAAAGTTATCTTTTTTACTGTTTTGGTTTTTAGAGTGAAAAAGTGCTTGAGAAACTAATTAAATCTAGACCAGAGGTGGGCAAACTACGACCCGCGGGCCACATCCTGACTTGCCCCCCGGATGGGGCAGGGGTCCCAGGGGGCAAGTCAGGAATGAGAGGGGGGGTTGGATGGAGCAGCAGGGAGCAGTCAGGGGTGGGGGGTCCGGGGGTGGTCAGGGGACAGGGAGCAGGGGGTGGTGGATGGGGTAGAAGTCCTGGGGAGCCGTCAGGGGGTGAGAAGCTGGGGCGGGGGTTGGATAGGAGGTAGGGGCAGGGCCACGCCTGGCTGTTTGCGGGGAGACAGCCTCCCCTAACTGGCCCTCCATACAATTTTGGAAACCCGATGTGGCCCTCAGGTCAAAAAGTTTGCCTGCCCTGATCTAGACAGACAACAGCTTTATCAATGGAGCCAACTCTAGTTTCCACACTGTTCCTTGAAGCTAAGTGGAAGTGATACACGGCCTTCAGCTGATTGTCACTGAAACTAGAGTGACTCATACTCTGTGTGTTAGAAATTTTATTGATAGAACGTGAAAAGATGGAATTTGCTGACTCTGGCATATTTTTATAGGATTACTTCTAATAAATCATAAATGTTATGCTATAACACAAGCACACCATAGGCAAATGCAACTTTTATTGATGTGAAAGCTGTATTCAAAATATCTATATATCCTTTACTGCTTTGCCACAGTACTTGCAGAAATCAGTCCCCACATTTTCATCTTTTCCCTTCGATGGGTTTATCAAGAGACATTACCAATTGCTAGCAAATGACTCATCTGCAGTAATACATATATATTCCTTTGGCCCTTCAGCATCAGTCTTGTTTCACTATGTAATTCTATGATTTATAAATTAGAGATGGGGCTAGAAAAATCTTTTAATTCTTTCTTAAAGGTCTGAGAAAGCCGTGGTCACAAAAAGAACAAATACTCTTCTGTGAATTTTCTTAAACCCTGATTTTGCAAAGCAATCTACTATAATGGAGGCAGTCCAATTGACTTTATGCCTGTGTACAGTGCCACTAAAGGCCTGTGCAGATGAATCAGTTTGCAAGATCGGGGCCTTATTTTATGATTTATGTTTTTATGTCTGTGTGGTATAATCACAAGAGTCCAAAAACCAGTTCCCTCGTGTCTCTTTCTCTGCTGTAGGAAATTGCTGACAAAGATGGGAACAACAAAGTTTTATCTTTCACCATCCCTTCTTTATCTAAGCCCTCAATATACCATGAGGTAAGAGTGCAACTGTGGTGGTAAATTGGAACTGGGTCCAATAAGAACTAAAATTGGATCCATTCAATGCTAGAGGTAAACATTCTGTATGCATCTTCCTTCATTGAACTTTCAAGGGTAAATTCTTGCAACAGTGTAATTTAATCCAATAGAAGTAACAGAAGATGGGGAAGGTAAGTCCTGAAGGGAATAATGAAATACTTCCATCTGATATGTTATGTTTTGTTCTTTGTTTTCAGTTTTTCATTGATTTATAGATTCCCATCCTTTCACATGTCTACTGCTTGGATGCTGTTAGCATATTTAAAGCATGGTTCTGCCTTATCAAATACCGAAACAAAATGATCCAAAAATTAAACTACATTGTTCTGCTGTATGTACTATTTATCTGTTTAAAAATCCTTGTTTGCCCAGCTCCAGCTTGTTCCTGTGTTTTAGTGCTACCATACCTTTGTCCTCCAGCAAGATTACCAGTTGAATTTTCTGTGCTGTAGTTGATGAGCAGGGAGCACTAAACATGTTCCATAAATGCTGCATTGTGGTGGGAGCTTTGGGAATGTGGAGGAAAGTGGAAACTGAAGAACTTTGATCCCATACTATGACTCATGAGCTGATTTGTAGTGGCCTGCAGCACACAATGTGCATGTATAAGCCCTTATTTAATAGCGTTTTTCTTAGAATTAGTTTCAAGTGGATTTTCATTTATTTGGCTCTCTTTTTATATTAAATGTGTCTTACTAAGATATTACTAGTGAAATCCTGGTCCCACTGAAGTCAGTAGCAAAACTCCCAGTGACCTGAATACAAATAGGATTCCACTCTAGGATTTTTTGCCAATAGTGGCTGTTCTTCAGGGTTGGAGGTAGAATCAAACATTTCTTAGTAAATAGCTATGTCAAGGACATAAAGCAGTTGTAAGTTATTTCCTTCCAGTTTTCCCCTTATGTGTAAAAATGGACGCAGTCCTCTTCTAATTCATAGCTCTTTGCAGTCTAAAATATATCTGAATAACAATCAAAAGTTTCAGCGCTATTACATCTGTCGTATAAATTACTAATGTGTGAGGTGAAAGGTGCAATGTATTACTGCACTGGGCTTCTGCTTCTGAAAACTGGGTTTAAATCCTGCATAGACTAATGTAAAAGTGAATTTGTGGTTTCAGTCTAGTCCCTAGCAGATGTGTGGCCACATCACAGAACCACTGTAAATGAACATAGGTTTTGATTTTCACATGAGACACCCAGGATTTAAATAGAGGACGTTGCAGGTCAGTATTGAGGTGTGTTGTTGCATCTGGAACTATGTAGAGCAGAAGTTCTCAAACTTTTTCTAAACACTGGACCCCTTCTTACCAGAGCAGCAGTTCTCAAACTGTGAGTCAGGACCCCAAAGTGGGTCGCAACCCTGTTTTAATGGGGTCGCCAGGGCTGACATTAGACTTTCTGGGGCCTGGGGCTGAAGCCGAATTCAGAGCCCCACCACCCAGAGCTGAAGCCAAAACCCGAGGGCTTCAGCCCTGGGTGGCAAGACTCAGGTTACAGCCTCCCTGCCCAAGGCTGAAGCCCTCAAGCTTTGGCTTCGTCCCCTCCCTCCTCCGGGTGTCGGGGCTCAGACTTTAGGTTTGGCCCCTATGCCCGGGGCAGTGGGGTTCAGGTTTCGGTCCCCCTGCCTGGGGTCATGTAGTAATTTTTGTTGTCTGAAGGGGGTCATGATGCAATGAAGTTTGAGAAACCCTGTATTAGAGGAATTGCTTGTGAACTATGTGCTCCGTTTATTTGCTGTCTTGGGAAACAACCTTTTGTCCCATTTGCAATCCCATAATATCCCTAAGGCAATGACAGCAATTTCTAACATGGAAAAGTGATGACTGACAGTGTTAATACAGTTCAACAACTGGAAACAAGAGAGAGCCAGTACCATATAACCCTTCATCTTCTAGCATTTGCAGTGCTTGCTGAGTCACCTGACGGTAGCTTAGGCCCCATCACAGAATGAAGGGAACTAAGGCCACCATGAAGTCTGGTTAGTTGAACTCATCGACAGCATGCACTATTGACTGACGGAGACCACATTAACTAAGTGGGTTGGCACACAGACCCCATCCCTGTATAGGGGCTGGCTGCAGCATACTTCATATGACCAACCAGCTTGTTATAGACCACTAGCACATGCTTCACAGACAACAATTGGACATCTATTGATGTCAGGCAAGTTTCACAGCACATACCCCCACTATTTCCCCATTTTCATGTGGCACCAGATATACCTCAGTCCCACAAATCAGTGTCCATTAAGTTCTCCAAACAAAATGAAGGGCCTTGATATACCACAGTGTATTTAGTGTTAGTGGGTGTTTTGTGACTCGTGCTCTATGCGTTGAGCTGAAAGTATGGCTCTTGGGTGTTGATTTGTGCATGCTAGTTGCATGTAGTTGAAACAGAATTATTCTGCTGCTTTTGTCATTTTGTGGGGGACATGGTCAACTTGAAATTTTAAAATGTGAGTTAAAATATTCCTCCTGATTTTCCCTGTCACTGTGTCTTGGTTTTGCAATCCTATTTTTTAATGCTTTCTCTCCTATTATTGCCTGAAACAATATGGGAAACTGACTAGGCACAAAATATAGAAGGTAACGAAAATGAAATGTTATTTCTCTAATCTTTCAGTGCTGGTATACTGAATTTTTATTAAAACAAGCGGCGCTTATGTAAATCATTTCAGACACAAGTATGATTGGTTTAAGGTGACTGTGTCCCTTTGGAATATTTTAGGAATAATCTGTAGCAGTTTTACAGATTATCACAAGAGAGAAGTAGAACCTTTTTCTAGATAAAATTTCATGTGTTTTGGATCCTTTCTATGCTAGCATTTCCTGTTTTTATTTTCCCCATTCCTTTCCCACCCAAGCCTTCTACGATTGGATCCATGGCTTTGACTGAGGGAGCCCTATGTCAACATGACCTCATCAGGGTGGTTTATAGTGATCTTCATCCTCAGAGAGAAACCTTCACTGCACAGAACAGGTGAGTAGTCAAGTTGTAGATATTTCATTAGTCTGAAGCATAAAACAATGTTAGGTCAATAGACCTGTATATAGCGAGTACTTTACCTGTCTGGCTCTTCTCTTACAATTTAGAGCTTGTAAGTCTGTTACTAATTCATTAGATATAAATAATTTCTCCATCGGATCCATTTCTGCCAGTGGTGTCTCCAAGCAGTCTGGAAGGCTGATTGGCAGACATAGACACTAGGTTAAAATAGTTTATGGGAAATGCAAACTTTTCCTATACTATGTCTGTCTTCAATCATATATTCTAAAATAGCTTGTTGCTTTATTCGTCTATACAATGCAGTGGCATTAGGATAGTAATCTGTTACATCTCATGCCTTTTAAAGTATTTAATATTTAATATTAATATTTTTAAGATTGACTATTTCTAGTCAGTGAATTAAAATGGAAGAGCGATAGCTACTGGCTGATGTACTGTATTTCTGGTGCCATCTTGTCCTGCGAGTGAACCATTAACAATGTTTAAGTTCTTCTGGTGGACTATTAAAATCTGAATCCATGTATTTTCTTTTGTCTGTCTTCAGGTTTGAGGTGCTTGGCTTTCTCATGCTGTGCTACAACTCTGCTATTGTCTACATGCCTGCCTCCTCCTATCAGTCACTTTGCAGGATGGGTTCCAGGTGAGGATTTCATGCTTAAGGAACATTTCTAGAGTTATAAATATGCAAAGGAAGCTAATGGATTTACTCATTCCCCTCTGGTAACTTGACAGATCATAATTTAATTAGAAACTTAATGCTGTTCTTGCATACGAAAACAATGCATTGATTGTATATCAATTTCATTTGCTTTAGTTCTAGGTTTTGTTTTGTGGAACATTAATAGTAAAAGCTGTAGTGTGTCAAGACCTGCAGTAAATGCAAATCAACCTGCATCTGTTTACAGTGACCCAAAAATAGGTGTACCAACTATTTCCTCTGTTTCTGAATATTAGTTGAATTTACTTTTGAGTTGCTTTGGATGACTGACTTGAACAGCATTTTGACAGTTTGTTTCATAACAACACCACGCTTGGAGAAATTGTGCCATCATTTCTCATTCTTTATACCCATCCTTTCCATGACCTCTTGCTTGAGTAGTATTTAAAACAGCTTTTTGAAATAAAGCCCTTCTTTTTGTTCTAGAATCTTAAATATCTGTGATCCCCCCACCCCATCATCTCCTTTGTGCCAGCTTGTTATGCTAAAACAAACAGGCCACGGGTGGCTAAACTTTCTTTAAAATACATACTCACGAAGCAGCAGAATCCTTTTCTCTGTGTTTTTGCTATGCCTTGTCAGCTTCAGCAGTGTATTTCTTGTAAATTGCTGACAAGCATTATACACCATGCAGATATTGTTTTCCCCAGTGTACAGCAGGATCAAAATAGCTTCTATCAGCTTCTACTCTATTAGAACACAATACATACTCCCACCAAGGGTTCTTGTCAGAAGCTGGGAATGGGTGACAGGGGATGGATCATTTGATAATTCCCTCTGGGTACCTGGCATTGGCCACTGTCGGAAGACAGGATACTAGGCTAGATGGACCTTTGGTCTGACCCAGTATGGTCGTTCTTATGTTCCTATTCTAGTCTTTTTTTTTTTAGTTGTTGTTTCTACAATTTCTTTGTTCCTGAATCTCACAGAATGGAGTTTTTCCTTGATATACTTCTGTCACCTTCAGTTGAGTTATACCACGGCTGAGTTTGGCCAAGTGTACTATACTTCTTTACATTTGAAATGTTTCCTTTCTTCAGATATAGAGTGGAATAAAACCTATAACAATGGACTGAATTTTAACACTGAATAATTTCACTATGGAAAATGGTTCCCCGTAACTGGAATAGTAATTTGCACATTTTGAAATAGTTTGAAAATTTTATTCAGTTTCACCATAAACTGAGCTTCCCTGCATCCAAGTTCTACTATATATACACTTCACACATTTGTGGAGAGCCTCCAAACTCCTGTTCACCCGTGCACCACCTTCTCCCTGTCTCTTCCTGCCCCCCTCAAAAAAAACCCCTAGCTTCTGGATTGATGCCCACAAGAAGTGAGCTAAAAATAGTCATGTGGCTATCAAGGTATGCAAATCAGTAATTGTGTAAATTGTTGTTCTCTTATCTTAGCTCACCCTTTCCCACCTCGTTCTGTTTGTTTGCTACCCCCACTTCTTTTATCATAATTTATCATCTGGATTTTAGACATCTGTGGCAGGAATCTGAGTTTTACTTCTTCTATAAAGTGCCTAGTACACTTCTGTATAAATAATAAATAATGCTTACCTCTAAGCCTTCTGATTTTTTCTTTCAGTGTATGTAACTAGTTTTGAAATGATATTCTGTCCCCTACACCACAAAAATCACTTGTATACATATTTGAAGTAAGTGATCCTAAAACTGATTGTTATATCACCCCACCCCCATCCAGAATGGCTCTTTTTCACTGGCACCTTCTGTTTCCTGTCCTTAAACCAATTTTGTGATCTCCTGTCTCATACTTTCTTTCTAACTTTGTAAGTCACTCTGTTCTGTGGTACATTATTAAAGTGTATTATGAAATTTAGGTAAATCATGTCCACTCTTTCATCTTGTGCAACTATGCAAGTAATGTGCAGAAATTTGTCAGGCCTGATTTTCCACTTATAAATCAGTGAAAGTGTTTTCTTAATGTTCCTTGATTTAGAATTTGTTAATATGTAGAAATGTACCATATTTCTTCAAATTTCAGTGTTCAACTACAAAACTAAAACGTCTTATAAAATCCCAGAGTACCACAATAACACAAACTTGCCTTTGAAAAACATCTCAGAAGGTTTTTGTTATGAAACGTATGAATTGCTACCTTACAAATGTTCCATTACTGCCATTTTGTTGCCCAGTCAACCAGTTTTGTGAGATCCCTTTGTATCTCTCGGAAGTGTGCTTTGGACTTAACTATCTTTTGTATATTTTGTATCCTCTGCAAATTTTGCCATCTCACTGTTTACCCCTTTTTCCAGATCATTTGTGAATATGTTGAACAGTACTGGTCCCAGTAGCGACTCCTGAGGGATACCAATATTTATCTCTCTCCATTCTGAAAACTGACCATTTATTCCTACCCTTTGTTTCCTATCTCTTAACCAGTTACTGATCCAGGAGAGGACCTTCCCTCTTATCCCGTGACAGCTTACTTTTCTTAAGAGCCTTTGGTGAGGGACCTTGTCAAAGGCTTTCTGAAAATCTAAGCACACCATATCCACTGGATCATCTTTGTCCAGATGCTTGTTGATCTCCTCAAAGAATTCTAATAGATTGGTGAGGCATGACTTTCCTTTACAAAAACCATGTTGACTCTTCCCCAACAAATCGTGTTCATCTATGTGTCTGATAATTATGTTCTTCACTATAGTTTCAAGTTCTTGTTCTTCTTCTTTGAGTAGTGTCCCGATGGGTGCTCCACTGCAGGTGTGCTTACACTCCACGTGTCTTCGGAGATTTTTGGTGGGTCTTTTTGGCCCGTGCATGCATCCTACACATCCTTTTGCCCCACACTGAGAACATATAAGCCGGTTAACTGTCCTCCATTCCTTCTCAACCACCTTGGTCTGAGATGGAGCATTAGAGTGTCCACTTTGCTATTAAAAGCTTGTTCTGTAGTCTAATATTTTCTTTTCCTTTTCTTTAATGTATTATATTTAGTTGATTTTGTAAAGGGGCCTGGTTTATAATCTTTCCCCAAGGCGGGGGGGACGAGGGACCTTTTTTTGTCCCAAGATCCCTGTCATCCCAGGATATGCCAGGATCTCTGAGTTTCAAACGCTGCCTCAATGGCTGGGAAGCTTTCCTGGTCAGTGTCAGGCTTTCCCAGCATATCTGCTGTTTGGGGGATGGGGGATGCATATCCCTTTAAAAGCAGAGTCAGGTAGAAAAGAGAGATAAAATTTAAGCTCTTAATGATGGAGCGTTCTCTCCATCTGGCCTCGGATCCAGGCCAGGAGACTGTGACAGAATATACCCCTAAACTCTGAGGAGACAGAGGCTAAGACTGCATGGGAGAGCTCATGTCCTGCTCTGGGTACCGCTGAGGCTCCACACTCTGTTGGTACCAACTCTGGACCTTGGGCTCTGGGCTTCTCTAAGACCGAAGGTGCCAAATATACCTCAGTACCGCAAACCTCCTTCACGCTGTAGAAGCAGGACGCCACGGCGAATGAGCCTAAGCAGTGTGCGTCTAGGACTGCTGCTCATTCCATTTCTACAGCAATGATCATAGACTATCCTGGCTCCAGATCTCCGGGTTCCCAAGAGAGGTCCAAAACACCATCAAAAACTTTTCCTTTGATGGGTCAAAACATTTTGCTGAATCCACTGATGAATTTTTGCATCTCTTAAAGGATTCCCGGGCCACTTTATGCTCCCTTGGGATTTATACACCTGCAAGAAAACAAAAGCTTTGCAGATTCCAAATGGTGCACAGATCCCGTCCTCAGCCATTTTCAGGATTTCAAAGACCCATTGAGCTGCCCAGAGGGAAGCCAAGGTTTCATAGACCATCCATTCATGTGCGTCCATCACTTAGCCTTCATCGTCATCAAAGTGACAGTTCTGGCAGATTGATCAAGGGTCTGGAACAACCCCAAACTACCAATGTGCAAGCTACACCATTCTACCTGTTCCTGCCCCTCCTCCCTGTAGCCAGACAGCCAGCCCCACCCCCTCAGACCAGCATTGCTGGAAACACAGGAGGAAGCCGGAACAGAGCACTTAACATATATTCCAGCACAGCCTTTGAAGCTGTGAAAGCACAGGTGTGCTGCTACAATGTGTCTCTGGGAACAGATACAACGATTAAGCTCACAGCAGGCAGAGGCCCTGTGACAGACAAGGCTCTTAGCCCCTACTAAATAGCGTGATGCACACACACCAACATCCTAGGTGGGAAAATATTTACCCTGATAAAAGAAATGTCCAGTAGTCGACACTTATTGTTTCTCTCCCTTGCAAGTGTAAACTACTCTTGCGAAAGCTGGCGTCACCCAGACAGACCAGCCTCAATTTGGCATAAGAAAGGAGAAAGAGAATAAAGGAGTACAGAGGTATAAGTAGGGGACCTACAGCACCATGATTTTTGAGTGCTTTTCACTATCTATTTGCTGGTCAGATAAGTGACAGCCTCCCAAGGCTTCTGCAGCTAAGAGGGTCCCTAAGCCTTGTCCCTTATTCGTCTTTCCGTGGAATTGAGTGACCGATCCTGGCTTGGCACCGCTGGAATCGAGAGATGCAAGGAGGGTAAGAAGCACCCACACCTGATCTCCTATCTTTAGTGTACACATATTTTGAAATAGAGCTCTATACTTTGTTTTCTTTCTTTGGGATTGTGGCTTCAGTTTTGTAACTTGTTTGTGTGTGTAACATCTCTACATTTAAATAAGTAGGCACTAGCAATTTTGTAACCACATGATTAGAATCTAGCTTAATAAATTTTGGTAACCATTTGTGCATAAGCCTGACTTGTTTTCTCTGGTTTACTGTAAAGCAGCCAACACAATTAAAGAACCTCAGCCGTTTTGGCTCTAAAGCCTGGCCATTAGGTGAGAGTACTAAGAGCCTAGCGTTGAGTTGTGCCGCCTCCACGGGACAAACTCTTGGGGCACC